TTGACACCAGAGTACAAATCGAAATTTAGATATTTTTTTAACAAAAGAAAGTCCTATTTACTAACCAGCTGGAGAGGAGCGCTTCCTTGTTAGCGACTTTGACCTTACTTAAAGGAGAAGGAAAAGAGATTTTGTTTTTTAAAGTTTTTTTTTTTAAGACTCCGGTCTACTGCGCTGCTAGTATGCATATCTTCTACCGCCAATCGTTTGCTATTGCGACATAAACTCCCCAGAGATATTTGATATAAGTTATTTTATAATATTTTTTGTTAACGCTAAAAGTCTTCTGACAGTGAAAAAAATTTCACTCCAAGAATCGTTTGTTTTATATTAGCCAATAAACCGATATATACTAACATTTGATGGCCGAACCGCATTATCTGTTCTTTTAAACTGCTAGTCAGTTGCACTGTTACTACGTATATCCTATACAGCCAATCGTCTGTTACTAATGTAGCATGAATCGACTCTCGGAGATATTTGGCATAAATTGTTTTATAATATTTTTTCTGATAATGCTTTAATTCATCGCACTAAAAGTCCCCTGAAACTTATGTCGATATTGATGCTAAAATTCCGCGCCAAGAATTGTCTGTTTTATATTAACCAATAAACCGATATATACCAACATTTGATGGCCGAACAGCATTATCTGTTCTTTTAAACTGCTAGTCAGTTGCACTGCTACTACGTATATCTTATACAGCCAATCGTATGTGCCTCCTGCTGCTATTGTAGAATGAATCCACACTCGGAGATATTTGACATATGTTGATTTGTAATATTTTTTCTGATAATACTTTACTTCATTGCACTAAAAATCCCCTGAAACCTCTGTCGTTATTGATGCTAAAATTCCGCGTCAAGAATCGTCTGTTCTGTATTAGCCAATAAACCGATACATACGAAAATCTGATGGCCGAAATTGCATTATCCGATCAACAAGCTCCCGTTCATAAACTAATTTCTTGTCGCCTGGACAATTATATGAACATAACCAATGTCGAACATTCACCCACGTAACTGCGACCAGCGGAAATTAGCCATGAAGAACGTATGGGTCTTACTTGCTGATATCTGATATGAAAAAGCAATTCTAGCGAAGTTAATTCCCACGTGAAACGTACATGCGCACTGAACATTTCCGGTTGCTCGATTTGCACGCATAACTCTTGCAGACGCTGAAATTTACTTGTTTCTTTCTTTACCCTCCAGAGTATATTATTACAAACCAAAAATAAAAAGGTGAAAAGGAGAGAAAATGCTACAGCATGAGTTTTAATCATGAATCTAGAAAATACAATCTAGAAAATACGAATATATTTTGCTACACAGTGTTGCCAGATGGAATAATGTTTACCAGTGTGGACAAATTATTGGCAAAACAGAATTAGAATCTCGAATTCAGAAGCAGCCCCTGTCCATCTTGACCCCTTTGGAAATATACGAATTCGACTTTTTGTGCTTTTTAACATTAGAAATCTTGACAAAGCTCTTGTCATTATTATTGACTGAAGACAATGCAGATGAATTCATTCCAGACGATGTTATTCTTTCGTCATAAAAACACCATATGTCCAAGTATCATATGGATTATTATTATTATTATTATTATTACTGAAATTGAGATCCTTGCTGGGTTATGATGAGCATATCTCATCTCCTTATCGCAGGTTAGAGCAGGCGTTTCTAAACCGTTAGGAACCGTACGTTTTAATGAAAAACGCGCCATGCGTGATACACGCTTAGGCGATCATGTATCTTTTGATACATGGCTCACTTAGAAGATCTTTTTCCTGCAGTAGGGTGCTATTTCTTTCAGCTGCAATCCAATGTTATAGAACCCGGTCTTTCCTGATATTTACCCATAGCTGAGGGGTGGGAGAAGAAGAGGATTACATCCTCCGCGGGTTTTGAATTCAGAGTTGTCCTTCTCCTAGACCAGTTGCCATCCAAGGCTATAGAAGCCAGTTCTGCTCTTTACCCATAGCTGGAGGGAGAAGAAGATTAATACCTTTCTCAAGGGTATTAGCAGGTAAGTGAATGTAATGGATTTGACTAGAGTTCGAACTCTGTTCTCCGATTCCTCAATCCGAGCCGCTATGCATTACTCTACCGTACCCGCATCAAGTTAATAGAAAAGTAATTTATGAATTGTTTTTATATTTAAAAAAAAATCTTTATTTTTAAAAAGCTACAGACGCCAAACACATGGATTTCATATCGAAGTCAAGTCTTTGTAATGAGATATTTTAAACCGGATGCTAAATTCCTTAATATTTAAGGAATTAGTAATGGATTTCCATTTAAAAATATCTTTCAATAGCTAGTAAAACATTGAATATTTTATCGCAATTTTCCACACCATATCTCTGCGAACTTGGGCACTTCGACGTTGTATAATGGTTAGCAATCTTGTCTCATTAGATCAATTACGTCTGAGTAGTGATTTCTACCCTCTTTGTCTTTTCCATCTATTTAATTCTTGATAAAATATAAAGAGTCTCTTATGTTATAGGTCTTGACCTGGCATCTCGACCAGTCAGTTCCCCATCGCCGTGACGTAGCTCTCCTCTTTCTTTTTTTTTTATAAATATTTTCATGGCAATTGTTCTAATGAGCTTGGTTTCGCGACTGCGTGAATTTAAGTATATTACTAGATTAGCAAATAGGTCTCATTGTTTTACTGTTGAACTAGCTAGAACCGTAAGTTCTATTCTAATAATTTCTTCTCACAGACGTCTCGTTTGTGGCACTCTCTGTCGGCTTTTTGCTTTCCCGGTAGCCACGATCTTTAAAGATTTAAATGCAAAATCAATCGCTATCTTGCGTCTTCCTGAAATCCGTTCTTTTGTTGTCTTTTCTCCCCACTAACGCTCTCTCGTCTTCTTTCAGTCTCAACAAACCCCACAAGTCTCAGTGGCTTTATCGCTTTGCTTGTGGTGAATCGATTGAGACCGGTTCATGCCTTTTCTTAGTGCAAAAGTGAAAGCTACATGCGCAGTTTTACGTTGTTGCTGTAAGTGAAAAAATAATCAATAACTGTTAAAAATTCATCTTGACACACGGAAAAAAAAACAACTTTTAATTGATAGTTAAGGTATTAAAATTGACATTTCTTAATTATGTATTCCATTTGTTTTCGTCGTGACGTAAATAAAAGTCGTGTAGGATTATTTTTAAGGCCGAAACTATCATTCTACTATCAGATAAAAGATGGAAGGTTTGTGTGTCACAAACCTTCATCTTTTACCTCGTGTAGATGTGAGCAAAACGAGGCTCTGGAGAGAATGAAAACAAAAAGGAAGCTTATACTTAACATCAAGAAGAGGCAGTTGGCATTTCTGAGGCTCATAATGAGGAAGGAGGGCTTGGAAAACCTGATACTAACAGGAGAGATTGAGGGAAAGAGAAACAGAGGTAGGAAGCGCGTAACACACTTGATCAGCTTGAGCAAATGGGGCGCAGAACAGGGTTAGAACAAAACTTATTAAAAATTAAAAGGGTCAGGTAGATGTGGAGGACCATGATCGCCTACGTCCTGAAGGGACACGGCCGATAAAAGAAGAAGACTCACAGGACAATTAGATAAAAAGAGGAACGGAAGAAAGCAGCGCGTAATATACTTGATGAGGTTGAGCAAATGGATGAGAACGGGTTTGGGAGAAATAACAAAAACACAGAACTTATTGAAAGCTACAAGGGACGGGAAGATGGGGAGGACCATGATCGCCTACGTCCTGAAGAGACACGACACATAAAAGAAGAAGTACTTCAATTGATAAATAAATAATTAAAGCTACCTCAGAGCGATCCAGTCTTCACCACTTGCCCGAAGTGAAATCCATGCTCGGAATAAACGATTGCACACGCTCAAAAGAATCGTTGTATTGTCACGAAATAAATCATTTACAAACACTGTGAACCAAGTCACATCCAATTTAGATTGACTGCACCCATAATAAATATTATTGTATAATTTCAACCAGAGGTTTCAGTATAACCGTTCGATTAACAGGACTGAGAATATCATGTAAAGAAGAGAAAGAAGAGGTTGGAGACTTCATGGAGTGTTCAAGATAAATAGTTTTCACTAAATATTATTTCTGCTTCGGCCAAGGTGCAATTGACGATCTTACGACCTTCGACTTGTGTCCTGAGAGGTCAATCGAAATTCAAGGCTGGTCCGTGACATTCCGGGAAATTTTGAACAATAGATAAACAGTTTGTGAAAATTAGTTGCTTGGTCAACTCATCTAAGAAAATGGCGATGCCGAGCCATCATGGAGATATTGTCAAGAATGATGAGCATCTGCACCCCTCTCCCCCACCCCCCAAAAAACAGATGGAAACACAGAGAGAGAAAGAGAGAGAGTGTGTGTGAGAGAGAGAGACAGAGAGAGAGAGAGTGTGTGTGTGTGTGTGTGCGTGAGAGAGAATGTATGTGTGCGTGAGAGAGAAAGAGAGAGAGTGTGTGTGTGAGAGAGAGACAGAGAGAGAGAGTGTGTGTGTGTGTGCGTGTGTGCGTGAGAGAGAATGTATGTGTGCGTGAGAGAGAAAGAGAGAGAGTGTGTGTGTGAGAGAGAGAGAGTGTGTGTGTGTGTGTGCGAGAGAGAATGTATGTGTGAGAGAGAAAGAGAGAGAGTGCGTGTGAGAGAGAGTGTGTGTGAGAGAGAGAGGTGTGTGTGTGTGTGCGTGAGAGAGAATGTATGTGTGCGTGAGAGAGAAAGAGAGAGAGTGTGCGTGTGTGAGAGAGTGTGTGTGAGAGAGAGAGTGTGTGTGTGTGTGTACGTGAGAGAGAGTGTGTGTGTGCGTGAGAGAGAGAGAAAGAGAGAGAGAGAGTGTGTGTGTGTGTGTGAGAGAGTGTGTGTGTGCGAGAGAGAGAGAGAGAGAGAGAGAGAGAGAGAGAGAGAGATAATTATCTGCAAGAACCCAAACAAGAACATCTCAATCTCTATATCTGCTTATTATCTCTTTCTCTCTATATCTATCTACCGCAGTGGCTTATTATCTCTCTCTCTCTCTATTTGTCTATCTCAATTGCTTATTGCCTCTCTCTCTCTCTCTCTCCCTATCTCATTTGCTCACTATCTCTATCTCTATGTATCTGTCGCAGTTACTTATTATTTCAATCTATCTATCTATCTATCTATCTATCTATCTATCTATCTATCTATCTATCTATCTATCTCCTTGGTCAAAGAAAGATGAAATATTACAATATATAGCTGAGCCATAGGCCGAGTTATCTAAAGTGTTTAGTATTTACTAATTCAACATTCTGTATTGTTACGATTGATTCAGGGTAGGTTCCATCACAGCTTTCATTCCAATTCAAAATCTATCTCAATTTCTTCATATCTATCTATCTATCTATCTATCTATCTATCTATCTTTCTTAATTCCGGATTATAGTTTCTGTTTTAGAAAGGTTTATGCTGAGTTGCATTTCTTGGAACAGGGGAGGGAATAAGAAGGAACAAGTATGGAAAAACGGAGAAAGAAATTGGGAAAAAGAAAGCTATATATATATATATATATATATATATATATATATATATATATATATATATATATTATAAGTTATTGCAACCGAATATACAAGTAGTCACTACAAAGATGCATATTTGTTTCGATGCCTAATGTAAGCATCTCATCAGGTTCCCCCATGTATCTTTCTGACGAGGCAGATTTTTCCCGTAGTAGACTGTCCTGCTATTTAACTCAAGAGATGGATTCATGCCTTTCCCAAGGGTATTTGTGCGTAAGTAAATCTAACGAACTCGGCTGGGAGTCGACCTCGGCTCTCTGAGTTCTCATTCCGAGCCGATATCTATTACACTACAATATATGGTATAGGTTGAGGGTTAGAGTTAGGGTTAGAGGATGCAGAGGTTTTGTTCAAGTCATTTTTTATCCAACTATGTTAATAACCGTTTCTTTATAATGTATTTCCGGCATTCATTCTTTAAAACGTCGACGTTACGCTAGGTTTGAATTAATTAAAATCTTTTTCTTTAAATGGTTTTTCAGGAAAATAGGTTTCAAGTCCATTTACTGTTATTGTTCTTTCTCGTATGTGAGTTTCCTTTATAGATTTTTGTTTTAAAGGCAGTGGGGAAAGTCAACATCTTATGTCATTTTCTCTTCTCGTTTTTTCATTATATGTTCTATTCATTTCATTTGTTGCTGCTGTTGCAAGTCTTCAATGTGATGCGAAGGATAGTCTTCCTTATGACCTGTAGGATTCACACACTTAAAGCCATTTTAATCATTGATCTGAAATATAGCTAGGGACTGAGTGTGTGTGTGTGTGTGTGTGTGTGTGTGCGAGAGAGGGAGAGAGAAAGAGAAATAGTGGGAAATGACATAAAAATGAAAAGGTGAAAAAAAAAAGAAAAGAAATTTTAAATTAGAATACAAAAAAATGCAAAAAAACAAAACAAAAAATGTATCATGAAGGAAAATACTGTGAAACGCGCGGAAAGGAAAATTATTTCCATTTTGCATAGAATCAACCTGAAAAAATTGCCGGGAATGTATAATAATTTCCCGCCAATTTTTCACCGTGAATTATCCTCCCGTTTTTGCCTCTACTCGTATCGGGGGAAAAATAAAAAAACAAAAACAAGACGTTCTGCGTCTACTTAGGTTTCGACTCATTTTCTTTTGCTTTTGCTCTGAGCTAGTTTCATTTGAGTAAAATTCTTCAATTGTCTCCTATTGTCTCCTATTGTCTCCTATTACTCTTTCTTTCTTTCTTTCTTTCTTTCTTTCTTACCTGTATCAATCTTTTCTTTTCTTTTATAACATCTTACATTCATTTCCTTCCTTCTTTGCGTAGGCCATTCATCTCATATCTTTCTTTTCCTTTCTTCGTTTTCATTACATTTCTTTCCTTCCACCTTTCTCTCCTTCATACCTTCCTTCCATTAAATCTTTATATTCCTTCAGTATCCTTTCTGTGTATATATATATATATATATATATATATATATATATATATATATATATATATATATATATATATCCTTTAATTTCGTGACGTTATTTCTTTTTTATTTTTTATTTTTTTTATCATTTTCTATTTTTATTTTTATTTCTCCACCCGTGTCCGTCTGGCGTAATTTCATCTCTTAATTTCATATCTTCTTCTTCTTCATCTCTCCCCACAATTTTTTTTGTTTCCTGCCAATCTATCTATCTATCTATCTATCTATCTATCTATCTATCTATCTATCTATCTATCTATCTATCTATCTATTTCTTTCTCTTCATTATCTATCTATCTATCTATCTATCTATCTATCTATCTATCTATATTGGGTAAAAAAAGAAGATAAATTCAAACGTTTATAACATTCATTTTAAAAGAGGCCTCGATACAAAAAGTAGAGCAGTAGTTATTTTTCTTTTTTCTGTTCTATCCTACATATTACTTTCTTTTCCTTTTATGAAAATTCTTCTTATGTCTTTCTAAATTTTAAAAAATCTAAAAAGAAGTGATGCTTCATAAGTAGCATTTTTAAATAAAATCGTTTATAGCCAACTTTGTTCACCACCTGATGAGATTAGGCATCGAAACAAACACGCAACTTTATAGTCATTACTTGCATGTTCGTATATAATAATTCATGGTATATATATATATATATATATATATATATATATATATATATATATATATATATAGCTTTCTTTTCTCCCAATTTCACTCCGCTTTTCCATACTTATTCCTTTTTATTTCACTCTCTTTCTTTCTTTTTCCACCGCCTTTTCTTCCTGTCTTTTTTTTTATCTCCCTCTCTTATTCTTTCCTTCCTATTTTCTTTAATTCTTTCCGTTCTCTTTTTCTTTTTCTCAATCTTTCAATTTCTGTTCCTTTTTTTCTCCTTTTCTTATTTCATTCTTTTTCTTTCTCCAGAATTTCTACCCCCTTTTTTCTCTTTCTTTCTTCTTCCTTCCTTCACCAATTCTCTTCTTTTCTTTCTTTGTCTCGTAATTTTTCCTTTCTTTCTGTTTGTTTTTTTTTCTCTTCTTCCTCTCCAATTTCTTCTTTCTCTTTGTTCTCTTTTCCTTTTCGATCATTTCCTTTTTTCGTTCCAAAATTTCTTCTTTCTTTCCTTTTGTTTCTTTTCTATCTTTTTATTTATTTATTTATTTTTTTCCTTTCCCACTCTTTCCTTCCTTCTGGTTTTTCTTTTTCTTTCTTCATTTGTACCGTTTTCTTTTCTTTTTCTCTTTCCTTAGATTTCTTTGTTCCTTTTTCTCTTTTCTTTTTCTCTTCCTTTTCCTTTCTCCTACCCTAGATTTCTTACCTCCTTTTTCTCATTTCATTTCTTCCTTTTTTTTTACTCCTTATCTTTTTCTTGTTCTTTCCTAACTTTGCATAATAACTTCCCTTTTTACCCATCATGCCTTGCAACAAATCCAACGTTGTTATGAAAATGATACGGCAATTTCTACTTATTCAGTCCAGTGTCACCGTGTTTCTGTAATTCAATTTTTTGTACAGCATTTCCTCTGCTTTTATCTCATCTCAAATACGTCAGCACAGAACAAACTTGAAAAGCATTTGTTTTTTGTTAAACAACAGACAAAATTAAAACTTGAACACTCCATACGAAGGCAAATAGATTAGATTTAAAAGACAAGTGCGTAAGGGAAGTGTTTCAACATTTGCTTTGTTAGGCTGACTAAGAATTTCAATATAACACCAATCATTTCTAACATATTTTCCACAAATATTTTCGTACGTAAGTGAGAGAATATTTCTCGTCGGAATCCATCTTGTACACTTATAAATCAACCATTCATCCATGCATTAAATACTGTTGCCATATCTGCTCTGGTGTTCTTGCCGTATATCTCAAGATTCTTGACAAAGTTTGAAGAAGGGTCTATATCTAAAGAATCAAACCAAACAATTATCACTTGATAATTATGAATACGCACAAACAGGACTTAGGATACTAGCAGCTAAATCAAGAACAAAAAAGATGAAGGATTTAAGATCAGTTGAAGGAGAAAACCAAATATCTGATCTCTTTTTGACAACTGTTGGTTGTGAGGCTATAAAATTATCAGCAAATACACACCTAAGACAGTTGGAGGAATTGACATTTGACGATATACGTCAACACTAATAGGGAAAAGCATAACACTCAAGAAAAACCTAGTGAATGCAGAGAGGGCTAAGTTTATGAATATTTCTCAGAAAAATTAATAAACCACTTATCGAATATGTTCTTCGTTTAAAACAGGCCGCTAATGTTAGTGAAATCGAGAGAAGTATAGACTCTGAAGATGGATAATCGTTGGAGGAACACTCCTACGAAAAGCGAAAAAAAGATCTCATATCAAGACAATCTCTTAGGGAGAGTGGGGAGATAGTGAAATGACAAAAGCTCCCAGAAGTTGTAACATAGAAAATAAGGGGATAAAAACTCTTCGGTACACGCAGATGACGTGATTCATTTACATAGGAAATCACTAAAACTATAAATATCTACAGCTATTAACCATGAGTCAGTTGAGTGCATACTACTGACTGTGAGTCAGTAACACTACATCACAATGGCATCGCCGATATCTAAAGAACCAGGCAAACAATTATCACTGGATAATTATGAGTAGGCGCAAGCTTAGCTTAGGATACTAGCAGCTAAATCAAGAACAAAAAAGGATTTAAGATCAGTTGGAGGAGAAAATCAAATAACTGGTCTCTTCTTGGCAACTGCTTGTTGTGAAGTTATTATAAAATTATCAGCAATTACACACCTAAGACAGTTGGAAAATATAGCGTTTGACTATATAAGTCAGCACTAATTGTGAAAAACATAACACCCAAGAAAAAAAAACAGTTATCGAATATGTTCTCCGTTTAAAACCGGCCGCTAAATACTGTGAATTTGAGAAAGTGTGATAGGGAAATCATTGAATCGAAGGGGATTTGATCCAAATGAAATTGGTAAACAGCCTTCAAAATGAGGAACATCGGTAAATAACTTTAATGTATTTACAACTGGGAAAGTTGTCACTAGAACAGTGTATTGAATTTATTCAGCCATAAGAATTAATCGGAATATTTAACAGAACAAAAATTACGGATCTGGTAGAAGAAATGGATACATACGCAATAAAGAAAAAAGATAAAATAAAGTGTACTTTTTTCGATATCAACATCAAAGAGAAAAAACAAAAATGTCCGGCATATAAAAAAAAGAGAAAAGTATTTCAAAATAAAACTTTTTAAACGTATGTGTAAATCCCAAAAGAAAAACGTAGAGACGGTCCAATAAAATGAAGAGGAAATATATATGGACGTCGTTCATAAAAAAAAAAAAATGAAAAAGGATTATTAAAAATTTGAATGAATAATATTTTATTGAAGATGCAACTAGATGCGGGAAATGACGTGATACCTAGAAATTTCTGGAAGAAATAAGGAAAACCAAGATTAAAGAAAAGTCTTGTTCAATTGAATCACTTTGACGGATCCGTGATAAAAAAAAGTTAGACTATTTTGAAGCCTACTTGGAACTAACCAATAAGTTTGACGTATTGCCAATTATCGAACCTGTATCCTATACGGAACCGTCATACAGCCTGACGTGCTTTTACCGATTTCGTCACAGAGGAGCGTTCAGTTAGCAATGTCGGAGGGCGCATATTTTTTATGAAAATTTCTCGGACATTCAGGCCGGTAAATGCTGTTAATACTGTTTATTATAAACGGAGCATTTACTTAAATATTTTTATCTATAAAATAGAATGTATAAACATAAAAATGTCTTAAAATAATTGTCGGACTTTGTCCATTTTATAATGTGTGACGCCATTTGTTTACATTTGGATACGCATTGAGCAGATATGAATGTACGTGAGAGAATCATGGAAGATTGTAGTTTAAAAACAGTAAAATTGACTTTGCTAACCGAAACGCTCCTCTGTGGCTAAATCGGTAAAGCACGTGAGGCTATATGACGGTTCCGTATAGGATACAGGTTCGTTTCCTGTAGGAGGACGCATATTTTCTAAGAAAATTTCTCGGCTATTTAGGCCGGTAAAAATCGTTAATACTGTTTATTATTAGCATATAATTGACTTAAATATTTGTATCTATAAAAAGAACCTATAAACATAAAAAAGTCTTTATATATATATATATATATATATAATTAATAACATTTTTCACCTTGTAAATAGGATGCATCTGGTTAAAATAAATCAATTTAAGAGATGAGAATTCATAACCGACATTATTTTTACACAGAGTGGATTTTTGTTGAGGTGATTAATTATTGCTATGAATTAGATTAGAAATTTTGATTTTTTTGTAATAAATGCTTAATCTAGGCTATCTGTTAGGATCTATAATTTTTATATATCGGCGGATTATATTTTTTAACAACCCTTTCGCTTTGCTTATAATTAGGATGCATCTGGTAAAAATAAAACAAATTTAGGACGAGAATTTCTAAGCAACATTATTTTTACATAGTGTGAATTTTTGAGGTGATAAATTATTCCTAAAATATAATTTCTGTGTAAAAATAAAGTTGCTCAGAAACTCTTATGTCCAAAATTTGTTTTATTGTAACTAGATTCATTCTAATTATAAGCAAAACGAAAGGGTTATTAAAAAGTATAATTTGCTGATATATAACAGTTATTAATCCTAACTAGATTTATCATTTACACAGACACACACACACACACACACACATATATATATATATATATATATATATATATCATCATCATCCACAGACAGACTGTTTCGCTGTATCACAGCTCTTCATTGTTATTAGACATCCGATTGCTTCAAGCCGGGATCGAAACTCGAGCGATTCGGTGTCAGTCAGACATTTGTATCCCTATGCTATCTGCAAACGGCAGAGGAAGGGAATTTTTAACGTATTATATTCGTGATA